ATAATATTATAGTAAGATCAGTGCATGTTTCCTCACGATGTCTTCCTTCGCCATATAATATGTCCGTAGTTTCCAAATGAACTTAGACAGTACATTTATCTAGTAATATAACTGGCATAAAATTAAGTGTAACTTTTCAGACTACATTCTATTTAGTCTTTTAAAGATTATAATCGATTCTTCAGTGTTAAAACTCCCTGTAATCACTATAGGTATGTCAGTACAATCCATAGATTGTCTTGTACGACACCACACAGCCACTGTCATTACCCTTGACGTACTGAAAACAGAGAATTCCTATAACAATGGTGATGACGCACCATGCGCAAGCGCTGACAGGAAAATAACACTTATTATAATGCTGTATAGCGATTAAAACTCCGTGTAATGACAGAATATAGTTGTAATCACTCGGGTACTTGGATACTGCGAAATAATATAAGGTTGAATTTGCTGCTTCGTTGGAGCTGTGTTTCTGGATTTTTGTTTTAGATTATCTATAATATTTCGTTTCGATTTTTAGATAGCGTAAAGCGTAAACTATTATTTGACTTGAATGGTCAAAACTATACGTAATAGTACAAGCCCCAAAATTATTTCACTATCAACATCCCTTATTATTACTTGGAACTTATTAGCTTAAAGATAAAGTTTACTTTCAACCAGCCAATCCAGAAACCATTGTGGGACGCCGATGTTTCAATTGATGGTGATGATAACCATGAACCTGAATGTATATAAAACTTCATAAACACCACTACGTTCACTCCTTCGAGGAATGAGACACTTGGTTTCTAGAATTAAAGAAAAAATAAAACTGTCTGCTAAGAAGTCGGGAATATGACTAACTTTGCTCTGAATACGCTTTGTTCTACATTTACAGTTATTTTCTGATGTACATAACTAGGTATACAGTTTATATATTTAGCGATTTATTAACAGGTAAACAGTTCTCGGACTTCGACGGGAAAATATAATATCATCTATAGAAAGAAACAAGAAATTCGTCATTGGATTATTAATAATTAATAAAATATACAATCTGTGTAATTCTTGTATTACAATTTACAAAGAATTAGGTTGATGTAAAAGCCGACTTAGGTCTCACACATTTGATACAGCCCATGCAGCAGCGCGCTCCTTTTAAACTGCGATCTCAATGATTGCAAACCTTCTTGTTCTTATGTATAGGTAACAGTTATTAATATTTCTGTGTTCTTTTGTATAGGAGGTCCATAGTCCACCAATGGACTGTTCCAGACTGTTGATATTTTGAAGTAATATTCTTTATAACTACTTATTTGGAACTCAAATTGTACATAGATAAAGTTACTTACACAGTATAATTTTTTTTATATATTCTACACATTTATAAAATAGTACAATATATATTACACATAATATTATTATATATAGCTAGTCGTGGAGAACCTAACGGGTTACCAGGGATCCGGCGACGTGCAGGAGAAGGAACGGGGTGGTTTTTAGTCAGTAAGAGTCTGACACTCCCTCCCGCCTCACCTAGCGGGAGCAGTCATTCGATGATTTTCCCCCCTTAAAAAAAAACCTATATATAGCTATAATGTTCCGCGTCTACCAAAACCGTGACACGTTCACAGCAGGTGGTCGCCTAGTCACTATGCCGAATGCAGTCCAATTTTTACCTGGAACTGCTGTTATCTAGTACAATCTAGTGGTACTGATAAGAATGTCTTTCTTCTCTCCTTAACAATAGACAATAGGAACTATGAGTAAAGTGATATTGTGGGAATATTTTTGAGAATACATTTTGAATTTAGCTACACCTGGAACGGGTACTGTGGCAACGTCAACATATAAAGAATGGTCGGTTGGTGTATCAGTCAGTGAACCTAGGTACCAGATTTTAATGACCGTGGGAACTTAAAGTTTAAAAAAATACCACGTTAAAGTCAAATTCAAAGTCAAGACGTACTATAACGTCACAACTTTAATCTTCGAAGGGGTCAATTATATTATGAATCCCATCTATGTAGTCCCATAGTTAGTGGATGATTATCCTTATACTTACCTGGTGTACTTTATACACTCTGACACCGGGTAAAATCTCTAAACTCCTATAACAGAGAAATGAAAATATTCAACTGTCAATCCAGTAATTTTTGCCCGACTCATATATTTACAATTATATATAAAAACATGTAATATTTGTAAAAAGATTCCTTAAAAAACCTTAACGGATTTCTTACCGATTGGCGCGAATCTTCTGAATTTGTGGTGGCCATGGCAACGGGCTAAATATATACGATTGGTGATATAGATACCTACTCCTAGCGTTTTATAGGTACTTCGTTTTTTGGCAAGGTTTATCTAGAGGTAGTTGACCAAACTTTATCTTAAGATTGTACACGCTTAGCACCTTTGTCTACTTACCCCTTTAGGCAATAAGAGGCGCAATGTTTTTTATGTATGTCAATATACTATAGCCAACAAAATGTATACTTTTCCTTCCACCACATTAACGAACCACATTTAATTATTTATTTGTATTCCATAACAATGTGTTGTAATTATTATACAACAGTAGATATCAAATAATACAATTTCATGAATGATTTTTGAAATATGTAGCGTATAATTATGTAGTATGTATAAACAGGCAAATATTAGAGTAACTAGATAGTACCTATATTGTATGTATCAAAATTTTGTGATATAAAATCATTGTATTATATATTATATCCATTGAAATACATACTTGAATGATGGTATTTTGGTATAGACTTGTAGAGGTAGATTTTTTATTATAATTGGATTTAAATTATTTTAACTAGTGAAAGTGGGTTTTCAGAAATAGTTATAAAATAGGCAAGTGGAAGATAATTATTCGACGTAGTGAACTAAGGAGAGGCCTTTTTTCGTTTTCTGACTGATGATGAAGACAACCATTGGTGAAAAAAATACTAAAACATAACATGAACATCACCTAAGCCACTCAAATAGAGGTACAGTTGTGTCATTAAATAGTCCCTTTGTTGTCGTCTTGTGATACTCCCCTTTAAAACTATAAATTACAACTTTTATTGTATCGATAAATTAAAAAGAAATTGAGGTGTTGTATATGATTTTTAAATATTAAAAATCTTTATAATCAAGAAAAAACAGCATAACTATAACAAAGAGTTTTATGGCCATATACATACTTGTTATGTGATTTAAAAATATAACCACTTAAGACAAAAATGAGCAATGGTACAGAACTCCTAGCATTATATTTATTAATCCAATACAGGCAACTGAACCATATCATGATTACCAGTCTTTCTCTGTCAGAACTGTTTCTAAATGTTAAAAAGGCTAAATAAACGTACATAAGTACGTAACCTGAATGTTGTTACATAAACAACAGAACCATAGAAAATGCTCACGCTTTATTTAATAAAGTTACCTACAAACCGTACCTACATATTTTTCAAGTGCAAGCAGTAAAACGATACTTGCGAGGAGTCAGCTTCGCGCATGCGTCGTCGGTAAATTGCCGGGTTGGCGACTCGCGCGCACCGTGCATGTCACCGGCAGGTTGACGCATGCGCAAACTGCACACCTTGCGTTTACACCACAGGCTTTCTTGCTGCTTGAAATCGAATCTATTAATATATATTTTTATTTAAACTGTCTTGTTTATTGTAGTTTTATTTTAATCAGTAACTTCTTTGTTTTTGTATTTTAGTATCTTTGTGTTGTTTACATACCCCTATCTGAAGTTACCCATGTGCATATAAATGACTACAATTTTTAAGAGATATTTTTCCTGTTTTGTACTGCATCCGATAAATAGGACAATTAATCAATGAGTTATGTAGTTCTGAAAATGAGTATCTTATCTAGGTACTTAGTTTTTAATTTTATATTATTCTCAATCACCAATCTAACAACATGGATGCTAATACAGTAATAAAATGATTTAATATGAAACTATAGTCGTAAGATTTCCCTACTTTAGTATTAAGTTGGATAAATAAGTTTACTTCGCAATAAGTGCACACGCAGCCAACTTGTAACTTAACTTCATTTCGCCACGAGCGCGTTCACTTATCTTTCATAAACGCCTCGTCATCGTTACCGACCACTGCACCACCAAGCACAATGCACACATTTGACATTACTCTACATCCCTAAATATATCAACTCATTTCTATAATGATATCGAACGACCCAAATATTTATAATAATAGCGACTACTCGAAATTACCGCCGAATGATTTTACTCTTCGGCGCGGTATCTGTAGCCACAGTATCGATCGGCACACGCCCCATTGCCGGCGAGCTATCCACGCCGCGGCGCGCTGCTCGAACTGCACGCGGAATGGAACGCGACAAACTGAAGGTTCTTTTGTCATGCGGTGATTTGCAAAACGTACCTAAACACGGTAAGGGCGTAGTCGGTCGACAGCCAAGTGGCGCACTCTCGTGAGAGATGAACGAACAGATAAATCTGAGAGCAAAGTTATGTTATGAGTACATTTCATGTCGTACGTACTATTGCTCGCTGGGTTCGTTTCTGATGAGACGAGTCACGTGGCTATGCGGCAATGTACGTCGCACAGCAGTGTTTGGTCGCTAGTGTACATTGGTCGGTAGAGTTCCATGGTAGAAGGCACAGGGTCGCAGAGCTAGTGCGGCCTCGCGGCCCTCTTCGCCGCAACGCAAATCGTTGAAATCAAAACTTTCACGCTACGAGAGCGCTACGAAGTTTTACTGCTACGAACTTCCTGCTACGCCGGCCGTAGCGCGGCGCACTCAAAACTTTGTTCAGAAAGCTTTTTTATTTGTCACTTTCTGTTATCAGTTGACTGAAAACTTGAGCTCTTTATGTTTGAGTGTTAGGATTCAGATTTCATTACTCTGCTTTGTTATCAAGTGGGTGAATAAGATACTGCGTGTCTCACATTCTGCGTGCCTCGCGACCAGGTTTATACTGACTTGTATTAATGTTGTACTGATTCTTGTATTGTCATTTAATGCAGTACTTGTTCAAAATGGAGAATTATAAGAAAAACTTTAAACATACAGCAAACATACACGTATCTTGCATTAGCAAGGAGACACAGAAGGTCGGTAGTTGTGGTGTTATCCTCAATGTGGAGTGGAGGCAGCAGCGGCAGGCAGTCGATGGGTCTGTGTTCGGTTTTGTTGTTCGTGGAACCGAGTCGCAACAGTCGCAGGTGGGCGCTGCGGGCCGAGCACAGCGAGCCGAGGCGCGCCGAGCCGCGGCGACCGGGCCCGAGCGGCGCGTACCAGAACGTCGTAAGTGCCGGCGGGCCGCGCCGCGCTACCCGCTAGCTTCAGTCTGCGCTCGGCCACCACCTTGTTCGCTCGTGTCTGTGACGCCGTGCTGTGACATATTTGACAGTTGTTATCGTGAATCGTGTGATGTTTTCGTATCGGAACTATGGTGTATCCCAATGAAAATGTGGAGTGATTTCCAGGTAAGTGATCGTAGTTAGTCCTAGTAGTAAGTTTAGTGACGCGGTAGCGAAGGTTTCGCATTTATTTCAAATTCGACTTGTGTTCTCAGTCTTAGTTTTTGTGTTGACTACAATTTTGTTACAAGTTTGTAATACTGATGAAACTCGAAGTGAAGTCTATAGGAGCATGGATAAACTGTGCGGGGATGAAGTTTTTAAAAAGTTTGACCATTGTTTAATAACAGAGGTTCTGTAAAGTGGGTAGAAAAGTTCTTTTTTTTGTAAGGACGATAGTCCCATCGCACTGTGAATATTATACGGGTTTGGTTTTCGCTTTAACTACAGCATTCAGCCAAATATTATTTTTTTCGATAAATTCTGTAAACAGTTTGTTGAATGAAAAAATATATTTAAGGATGGGATATTATAGCATTAACCTCACATTCTCTTTGTCTGTTCACTATATTTATTGCATCAATATCTTTGTCACAACTTTTTGAACTAACTTTTCTTTATACCTGAGACTTAGAATAATATGGTGCAACCACTAAGTGTTGGTTTCATCATGTCTACATCAGTAATTATCTTAGATAAAGGTTTAATACGTTTCTATACAAGCCCTTAAAATATTCATAAACCTACGAAAGATGCGCGCCTTTTTTTCAAATCTGACAGGTCGGCGCGTTTCCGGCGACCTGTCAAACGCCATGTGATAGATAGAAGGGCGCATTCGGTGGAGTTTTAAATCAAAGCGCGGTATTCGACTCGAATCTCGATAACTGCGCGACGCTCGAGGCGAGCGAGAACTCGTCACAGAAATACGTAGTTGTTGTTGTCTCCCTCTATCGCATGGCGCGCTCTCGTTCTGGCGGCGGGTGTTTTTGTGTCGAAGCGGGTTTTTTGTGTGGTTGGCGAGGCTGGCGCGGCGCGGCGCCCGTTCGCTCGACTCCACTGACTCCACATTAATTATCGGCGAGTTGGCTCGCCATCGCCAGCCAGCGCTAACGCACTTTACTTTCTATATTGCTACGATATTGCTGGACTCTTTACAATGCGTCGAGGTTTTTACACGAATGTAATGAATAAATGCATGTCCACTACGATTCGTTAAGCTGGATGATACTAAAACCGACATGACATTGGTTTAGAATCGAACAATTAGGTAGACCTTCGATTACATGTGAATTAGGACGTTGAAAATGTCTGAAGTTTATATTCGGGTCGAGACACTAGTAATAGTTAGCAGTTTGGTCTTGTAGTGAAGACCTCGTTTGTAAAAGAATTGGACTGTTCGGAGGTTGGTGGGTTTTCCTGGTAGCCGAGCGGCGCGGCTAGGGGCGCGTTGCCATGGCAACGGCTGGGGCGCCCCGCCCAGCACCGGCTCGGAGCGCCTCCTCCATTCTACTTATTGAGATTTACTCCTCGACTGGATTCACCATTGGCGAGACCACTGGTCGTTTTCATACTTCTTTATACCCCGATGAACTGAAGAGCCTAATTGAAACTTCATTTGGAGCATGATTTCAGTTCTTTGTTTATTTGACCTCATTCGAAATTCAGACCAAATTCTGCAATTACTTAGAAACTATACAAAAGTCCTAACATGTTTAAGTCAGAAGGGACAAAACAAAAACACAAAAAGACTATAAGATAAGGCATTCGTCTCCTTCACGACAACAGTTAGAAACTTTTATTTGGAACTTCAATCCTTCTAAAATACATTATTCATAGGCTCAGTTACAGCATACACAGACACTATGAAAGGTACAAAAAACTTCGTGCTTAGTCTCCTATAGACTGTCGATTAAAAAAAAACTAAAAGAACCAGTAATTTTCATTGTAGTTCAAGTATTTCAGTAGTAGAAGAACAAATGAAAAACCGCAAGCAAATTCAGAGAAATTGTAATTATAATAATGAAGTAAAATGTAAAAAAAAAACAAATAAGTAAATACTCTAAACATGTTTTAGTTCTCGTATTGTATTGTCACATTTGTTTCCGAACGATCCTCGTTCCGAGAATTTCACTCATTAATGGAGATACAAACTTGTTACCCAAATTCTATAAATACAACATTATAAATAAACATTTGATACAAAAGTAAATTCTATTTATATTCGATTGCATGTTATCATGTGATGTGAGCCGTCATAAATATTGTTATAGTTGTAGGTGTACAAGTTATGACACGGTAGGGGGTTGGTCGTAGGCCTGGGGGGTGGGGGTGCGTGGAATGCGACTTGTTGCAGTCACGTGTACCAAGAAACTATGCACAAACTACCCTTATGCACTTACGTAGTTCACACACCCACCCCAAACGACTTTAAACTTTACACACAACTAGTTTGGCCACCTAATGTAATGAACTAGATGTGATACCCGGTTTCGTTCGATAGCTGTCTTACCGTCGCGGCTATCACTGGTTGTTAATGAGAAGCGCTATAATGAAACTAGTTTTACCAAAACGTTTGTTGAATTAGTCAAATTGTGACTTTAGAACGATATTCCCAGGATCTATCGCGCTATTGTTTGCGTCCAGTGTTTGGAACCACAGATTATTAAATGTAAGAATATAACATGTATTTGGCAGAAAATTAAATCTAATACAACCTCCACCTGGTATTCCAAGTCTTTGTTAACTCAGGTAATGTTTACAACGTCTTAGACATGACTAAGAAACATAAAAACTTTATTACTCAAATTACATAACTTCACAGTAGGTAACTGATTTCTTAGCGTAAAGGAAAAAAAAACAAGAAACACGCTAATTAAAAAAACAGCCGTACGTATACAAAACATAATATATTACCATAATAAATAAATAGTTCGTTTGAACGGTTATTAACCTCTTTTGAGTGAACGATCTGTAATATACTTAACTGTTTCATAAAAACTATGGTTGATTAAAGACGCAAAAAGTGCCAGTCACAATGACTGGGCTAGTCTGGCCCAACGATAGTGAAATAGGGTACGAAGGAGGATTCCCGACGGGTCAAGAGCAAGTACAAAGACAGCTGATAAGATTAACATCTTTATAGCAAAAAATGCGATCAACAAGTGCTTGAAATGAACCTTGTAATTTGATGTATTTTTATAGGCTTCAATTTGTGGTTTCGATTAAGAAGTTTTGTCTGCTATTAGAATAGAATTTTGAATGCTACAAATGTTAGAACGAGGACTTAGTACATTAGATTCGTTTAAACTGTCAAACACCAAGCGGTCACCGGTGACCGCAACCTATTGTTCTTTAATTGTGTCTATAAATACGGTACTCGACGAGTTAATGAATTATATTTTGATTTGATCGACATTTTAGTTAGATCATTGAAGCTTCTTCTTTCAATATCAATTCTCCTTTAACATTCCTTTCTCCGCCATTTTGTATAACAATCCTTTGTTTTAAATATAAAATATGATATCAAATGGTTGCTATCGGAAATCCAAAATAACCCAGGGATGTCTGTCTGAACATTTGTTGGGTATCGGTAGTCCGGAAGACAAAGTGTAAAGCAGGAATGTTCCGGTCTACCGAAAAAATATACAGTAAGCATTCCAGCGCAGTTGGGCGTCTTCCGCCGGACTAAAGAAAGGAGCATCTTAATTATGAAGAATTTTCTTATGTATTTATTTACTTACAAGTCAATTGTCTCGTGTTCAGAATAATTATATTTCTTTACTCGGCATTCTTGAGGAGTACACGAGTGGCGACTAATGTTATATGAAGGCACATTGATAGAATAGTGACAGAAGAATCTATGTTTTAGAATTAAAAATATAAAGGCATAACGTGCATGATTTCACGGAATTTTTACTAAAGAGTGTGTTTTAAAGATTTCGTAGCAGTTTTGCTACGCGCTACTAAAAACCGAGCCCTCTATTTGCATCTATGTTTTGAAGTAGCAATGTGCAGAAAATTGACTTGAAATGTGTATTTGTGTGTTATATTATAATATAATACTAAAACTGTATGCAATATTAGAAGTAGTTAAGCCAAATGGGTACCAAATGCGACTGGTTACTTGCATAAAAATCACGTTGTTCGTCTCAATTTCTCGTATTCAGTTACAACACCGTAACAATGTACATAGTTACCATACACGGCAGAGATTCTAACCTCACTCCACGCACGTTAAATAAACATTTATGTAAACAAACAATCTATCAAGACGCATTATGAATCAACGTCACACCGAGCCGCTCCTCCTTAAGCACATCGCGTAATAATAACAACTTTTATTACACATTTGCCGTTAAATTCACGCTCGCATTGTAAACAATCGACCACGTGGAGTAAAAGTAATAGTAAACTCATAAACAAATGAATGAATTAGCCATAGCGGTGCCGACGTCATCGGCGAAGACACGCATAATAATCGCTTATGCAAACGAACCTAATTATGTAAAGCATTATGAACCGCGCCGACGTGTTTTGACATACGCTAACGACCAATTATATGGCCATTGTGTGACTCAATGAACTTGAAAGACATACAATAATATAGGGCATCGACACGCGCGATGAATGACGTGCCGCCGACACCTGTTTAGAAAAAATATGCGAATGTCAGGTGCACCGAATCTCAATGCTCGCCACTATTTTATATATATCATACTGTTATGTGCGGGCCGCACCGTGCGCCGCTCCACACCTTGTTTACAATTTTTTGTCGTACCTTATTGTCATGTCTGAGATGCATTGACGGACTCGTGTTTGCTTTCTCATTTACTTCGTATCCTATTATAATACGGTTCGCTTTGTATAACTTTATATTTGCACAAGTACGCTAATCAACATTCAAAATATCAGATTACAGTACTAAGTATCGCAATCTTATCTTTGCTAAAGTTTCCGGCGTGATAGGGTATTGGGAATTTTTTGGTTCTTGATATTTTTGCTAATTGTGTAGGTACTCTGTATTCTTTCGGTTCATACGTTTTATCAAGGCTCGTCATTATTCGAACGCAGAATTGAATTGGGGATAATAATATCTTTGGCATTCGCGAAGTGTCTCTTTCACGCTC